ATTCTCACTGACTTCTTTCCCTCTCTCACATCGCATATGGATGGCCATGCTTGTCATTTCCTGTATATGATCTGAAATTCTAAGCTTTTCATGTGACTGTTTCGATTTAGCTAGAAATGAATGACCATGCACAGACTATCAGGTATTATGCCAGGCGCATTTAGACTGTCTCTTTCACACTCTGTAATGAGCATCTGCCCTTCTCTGTGCTCCTTTTTTGGATGAGCATACTGAGCTCTGTGAGGAAAGTGCTTTACCTGCTCCAGGCTTCTGTGAGCTGCTGAGGACTGTGTTCTGATGCCTCTTCTATTCTGCCAGGGAGGACTGTTGACTGGGTGGGGCTTAAAGAGCATATCGGGAGGAGCTGCTCCCAGCCTTGGGATGTGGGCACTGAGTATGTGCGTGTCAGGGCTAGAAGGACCTTTGGAAGCTCTTCACAACCTTGAATCATGGCAGTAGGAGACTGGATGGTGGTTATGCGGTTACAGCTAGGGTAGGGAAGGAAAAATCATTCCAAGGAGGCCTTTCACCGATTGGGCAATTGAAACTGTTTTTTTCATTACATTTATGTATTTATTTATTTTTGTGAGTGTGTGTACATTTATGCCATGGCATGCATGTGGCAGTCAGAGGATAACTTGTACTAGTCAGTTCTCTCCTTTTACCATGTGGGTCTGGGGATCGAACTCAGGTCATCAGGCTTGGTGGCAAGTGCCCTTTACCCACTGAGCCATCTCACTTGGCCCATTAGGCAGTTTTTAAGTGTGAGAGTTTGATCCTGAACTAGATACTTTCTTCTCTGTCTGGGTCTTTGGCTCCTCATGGTCAAGTGCAGGATTCTAAAGCGCCACAAGCCAGGACAGCTTAATCCTTCCTCAGTTGGCACGTATGGCTTCATGGCCAGGTTCTGTCTGTAAAGCAGAATATTCACTATACATGGAAAGTGCTGATATTGCTGGGTTGTGGTCCAATAAGGAAAACAAAAAGGGCCTTGACATTTAGTAGCATCCTCAATACAGTTTCTCTGCTCTTATCTACCAAGGTGTTCTTATAGCTGTGAAGCCAAAAGTGCCTTTAAATAGGGAAGAGCATACATTTTCTCTATCACTGTCTGCTCGTAGATGTTAAAACTTTGATATTTGCTTAGGGTTGTAGGATAAAATTCTCATTTTCTTAAAGTTTTTTTTGGTCTTTTTGAGACAGGGTCTCCCTGTAGTCCCAGCTGGCTTGGAACTCGCTGTGTAGACCAGGCTGGCCTTGAACTCACCTGCCTCTGCCTCCTGAGTGCTGGGATTAAAGGCCTGCACCACCATGCCTAGCTCCTTTTTTTTCAAATTTTAAATTTTATTTAAATTTATATATTTATTTTGTTTTAAAATTTATTATTATCACTATTATTATTAATATTTGTGTATGTATATGTATAGGTGTGCGCATGCCACAGTGTGTCAGAGGACAACTTGTGGGAGTAGTTTCTCTCTTTTCACGAAGTATGTCCCAGAAATCGAACTTAAGTTGTCAAGTTTGGTGGCAATCACCTTTACCTGCTAAGCTAACTCATTGGCCCCCTGAGAACATTTTAATTTTTATGTTTGTTGTGTAGCAAAAGCAGCTGGTCCGTCTTATTTCTATCTAATTAATTAGTTAGATTCACTGCTCTTGAGCTGGGAATACAGATGTTCTGTGTATATATTTGTTTACTTGGTGCATTACATCAGAAAACTATTATCCTCACTATAATTGCATGCTGTGAACAGATGCTTACATTCTTCCATGATGTACCATGTCTACTAAATACCATAAAGTGTATGTAGTTCAAGTTACAAGTAATCCAACTCTGAGGAGAATATGAATTTTTATTTATATGTACCTGCCTTTGAAGTTTGTTGCCAGTTCTTATTCTCAGAAAAATTTTCATTGTGGTGATACTTTTTTAGAACAGAGTAAAATTTCATTTAAACAAGGATATTTTGAATTTATTCTTTGACAGTTTCATACATATATACAATGCATGGATTCCCCTTTTCTTGAGTGTGAAAACTTTGAAGTCATCCTCTTTGCACTATGCACCTCTCCCCTCCCCCATACCTCTCCCATTTCTTTTCTTTCAATAAGAGCTTTTTCAGGCTATGTATCTCTAGCATTAATTTATCATCAGTAAAATGCACTGTAGAATACCCATCCCCTGGCCTGATGCCACTCAGCAGCTGGACATGAGGATTATATTCCCTCTTTCCTCTTTACTGCTCTGGCCACCTTAGGTATGGATTGGCTTAGACTGTGGAATTCCCCAGGCTCTGGGTGCCAGTCCCAGCACCATGAGGTAATCTGATAGGACCATGGTCAGGTGGAGTCTGCAGGGCTCTGTGTCAGGTGTTGAAAGAAAGCTCCTTCCTGAGCAGTACGCCTAGCATCCTTCAGACAAGGATGCTATGGAATTGGGTGTTTGTAATGTTATTAATGGTGACAGCTTAGGCTGGCCACCCTGAGTTGAGAATAATGCTAGGGCCCCTCAGTGTGGCTGGTAACCCTTCTTGAGTGTCTGGGTATATGCAACAGGTAAAAAAACAAAACAGGCTTCAGGGAACCCTGAGTTTCTCATCTGCTGGGGCGTAGGCTGCTGACCTCACCACTGTGGACCATTTTCCCTTTGTTAGGGTGAATTTCTCAAGTGCTCCTCCCCCCAGCTCATTTCCTTGGTTGTGTGAGAGCTGGCTGAAGGGCCTGCAGGCAGGAATTACAACCACAGGCAGGAAGTAGTTAATAGGGCCCTTTGACTCAGCTGGAAGAGGAAAGACTGACCCCTACAATAGAGGCAGGAAACCTATGGGACCACACCATCGTTTCCCCTTCAGGAGGGAACTGGAGTTTCTTTGGTGACATCTCAGGGGCTGCTCTGCCACCACAGAGCAAGGAAAGGGGGGCATTTACCACACAGGTCTTAAAGCAAAAAGTGATGGGTGAGATGTTGCTGAGTGGTGCAGCTGGGCTTCTGAGTGTGTGCTCTCCTTGTAGAACGAACTCAAGTTCCAGGCTATCTCCCTCAGCATCTGGTACCATTCTGTGAATCAAAAATTACTTTAAAAGTTAACTGTATACTAGATAAGAAACACACCAGGATGTTTGGGAAGGAGATAATCTGGCCTGCTTCCTCTTATCCTTTGAAGGGGACTGTACTTCTCTTCTGTCTACAGTAAAGCTCCTTCAGGGCTCAGTAAAAAGAGAGGCCCTTAAGAAGTTTAAAAAGTAGAGCTTCTAAAGACCAGTCTGAATTAGAATAAAATAAAAATTGCAATATAAGGCCCCACTCTCATCTTGCTTATTTAGAAAATACACACTATTTGATAAGCATTGAAATAAAGAGGAACCAAAAGGAAACTATGAACTGTCTAGGAAGAAATAAGAAATGAGAAGCTGAGCATGGAGGTTCACCTGTCATCCCAGCAACTGGGAAGTGGAGGCAGAAGGATCAGGAGTTCAAGGTCATCCTTGGCTACATAGCAAACTCAAAGGGATTCTGGCTACAAGA